GAGGGGGGTGGGGAGTGGGGAGGTGAAGGTGCGTGGTTATGATGCGGTTATTTGTGCGAATGGGCATTATTCTATTCCTTATATCCCTGACGTCCCTGGGATTGAGGATTTTAATAAGAAGTATCCGGATGTTATTACGCATTCTAAGATCTACCGCAAACCAGAGGGGTTTAAGGGTAAGAAAGTTATCGTCTGTGGAAGTGGACCCTCTGGACAGGATATTGGCACACAGATAGCGACGGTATGTCAACAACCACTCTTGAACTCCGTCACAACACCACAATCCGACGCAAAGAAAGGGCAAGAAGAAGTCTCCCACATCGCAGAGTACCTCATCGACGAGCGAGCGGTCCGCTTCACAAACGGCCGCGTAGAAAAGAACATCGACGCGGTGGTTTACTGCACAGGCTACCTCTACGGGTATCACTTCCTTGAATCCCTCTCCCCACCATTGGTAACAACAGGACGACGTGTGCTAGGTGCTTACAAACACCTTTTTGATATTTACCATCCGACACTTGCTTTCACCGCGCTTATGTATAAAGTTATTCCCTTTCCCGTGTCCGAGGCGCAGGGTGCGGTTGTGGCGAAGGTGTGGGCTAATAAGCTAGCGTTGCCTGGGGCGGAGGAGATGGAGAGGTGGGAAGAAGAGAGGGTTAGAGAGGTGGGGGAGGGGAGGCCGTTTCATGTTATGGGGTATCCCGCGGATGTGGAGTATCTTAATGGGCTTTGTGAGTGGGTGAGGAGTGCGGATGGAAATGAGGGGAAGGAACCGCCGTTCTGGGGAGATAGAGAGGTATTTATTAGGAAGGTTTATGTTAAGATGAAAGAGAGGTTTGAGGAGGCGGGAGGGACGGCGAGGACGATGGAGGAATTGGGGTATGTTTTTGAGCCGGAGGAGAGTCGGGAGAGTGGATAGACATATGAAAGGGGGTTTCGTGAGGTTATAGAAAGTTGCTGATAGAATGTCTGGATTTTTTTCTAGATGCCTTAATTTAACGACTCAAAGTTCTATTAATATATAACTAACAAGCGAGATTAAGTAGGGGATAGTCGATCGTTTGAGAGTACTATCTTTAATCTGCTGTGAAAGAAACTCGATCTTAACTTTAATTACGATTATAGTGCGAATCTGGAATAAAGTATATAATGAATCTTGGGGAATAAGACAGACATTCTTTCGAAAATCCAAGATGATTCTATTATCCTTACTAATAACGAAAACAAAAATACCGTATTAATTAGATTATAAGATACCATTATTTAAGTAAAAAATCCGTCCTAAGGCCTATTTAAACTATATCTTATATAAAAACTAATATCTTGTAAAAACAAAACAACCTTTTTTCGAGATCAAATTTTTTGTTCTAAATCACTTGCTCTCACTTGCTTGTACTAAACAAGCCGATTACCCTCCATGGAGACCCCTCTAAGGAGGCCTCCGGCCTTACTGTCGCCTCTGAAAAGAGGTCCGGATAGGGGAGGAGCACGCCCAATTCCCCCCCTCCCGAATATACAACAACACTTCGTCCTAGCAACTGCCAAAGCCCTTGAACGTAGTTCTTTAGGCCAAACCTTCTTCGGAGGAACCGCAGAAGCTGTAGATTGCCACCTAAGCACTGTACTCGACAAAGCCCCCCCC